ATATGCATATATGTATCTTTCCAGCTACTTGACTATATGTTATTATTATATTACAATATGTATACTCGTATACATCTCTTGTAGATGCATTTATCAATGATTATACAATTAAGCACTGCTCATTATATTTAAGATCATGTTTGTTCTATCATTTGGATCTTCCTCCTTCTTTGTTTCATGTTTGTAAATCTTTTTTGCTCCTCCGGGGGCCCAAATTGGACTAATAAATCTTGTATCTTGTATAGACCCCCATGCTCTTGGTCAGGAGTGCAACAAATATGTGAAAATTATTGCTGATTAAATATGAATAAATATAAAGAAAAAATGATGAGTTGGATGTTTCTGGGTGACATCATTTGCTTACAGTGTTTTTCCTGAAAATATACTATAAAATATATTTTATCTTCTAAACATACATTTTAGCTAGTTTTGTGACATAAATAGGGAAGAACTTGAGATATAAAGCCAAGTTTAACTACTCTCATGTGTTTTGATTATAAAGTATTGGACTATAAATATTGCACAATTTTGTTATCACTTGATGTTGCCAACACCTTATGAATTCCTGTGTTCTATGGTTTTAATTTTTAATTTCACTGCAGTCAGGAGTGTACGGAAGCCTGTTGAGGCCAGTTCAGAGAAAGAAATATTTGTATTGCGTTTAAACGCAAAACATTGCGTTTAATCGCAATAATCATTGCGTTTAAACGCAATAACTTTGCGTTTAAACGCAATAATATTTTTGCGATTAAACGCAATAGTTTTTGCGATTAAACGCAAAAGTTTTTGTGTTTAAACGCAATAATAATTTTGCGATTAAACGCAATGCTTTTGCGTTTAAAGGTAATAATCTTTGCGTTCAAAGGCAATAATCTTTGTGTTTAAAGGCAGTCATTTGTATCAAACCTTGCAGAGTAAAATGGACCCACGCATACCTATATCTTTTATTTCTTTCTCATTTTACTTATTAGGAAATTGTGTATTGTCCAGCTTTATAGAATCAGATTTCTCCGAGCAAACGCTCTCTGAAAGGATAAATCACTAATAAGAATTTATAGAGGAGAAAAAAATGTCGGGTTGTAAAAACAAAGGCAACCTAAGAACGAGACATGTCTTAAGCTTATTATTCTCTACATTCTTAATGAAGTTTTGGTCAGTTGCTCTGTTAAAAAAAACTGTTCTCTACGTTGCGGTCACAAGTTTAACCCATGTATAAAGGGATTTTTGGAAAGGACTGAGGAAATGTTGGAATTACGTACATGTACAACATGATGAAGTATTTAGACTTAAATGTACATTCATAACCCTTCCTATAGTTGCATACAGTAAACACAAGAACATATGTGATGGATTTATATGAGATCAAAATCAAAATCAAATGAAAACAGATTGATCGATGTGTACTACATGTATAAAATTGACAAGTGCTATCAATACAACTGAAACATTCTCTGTAAGTTGTGATATACGTAAGAAATTGATCAAAGACTTCATTAAGAGTTTTGGGTTCTAATACATTTAAGACATTCAGGTTGTTAGGATGCCATTGTTTTACTACAATTTTCAAAAACTGGAAAATTTTGCAAAAAGACACAGAACAAATCGGATCTTCTTAAAGTTGATGTGTCGGATCCGAGTACATGTACATGTAATTATAAGCTTTGACTAATTCATGTTTGATTTTGAAACTACAGTATCATTGTGCTTAAATGCAAAACAAATCCTTATAAGGAAGGATTATTGCGTTTAAACGCAAAGAGTATTGCGTTTAATCGCAAAAATTATTGCGTTTAAACGGAAAAGATTGCGTTTAATCGCAATCTTTTGCGTTTAAACGCAAAGTGCTTTGCATTTTAACGCAATATACATTGCGATTAATCGCAATCTTTTGCGTTTAAACGCAATGATTATTGCGTTTAAACGCATTGATTATTGCGTTTAAACGTAATAAAAATCTTTCTCTGAACTGGCCTCAACGGGCTTCCGTAGGAGTGCAACAAAACTGTACTATAATTATGAATGATCTTTATCTATCTTTACTAAAAAATAAATTGAAAAAGAAATGTTTGATACTATTTGATGTTCAAAACATATGTCTATCAACTAAATACAGACATTTTACAGACAATTTAGAGATGAGTTTTCATCACTTAACACATATTTTTAAATACAATGTATATATATTACACATTGCAATAATCATGTTTTGAAGTCTTGTAAATATGAAAAACTTGTCGTAAATGATAAAAAATATCAAAACGACGAACTGATTTACAAACTAAGAATGGGTTATTGTGCGTTATAATTTTTAAAACAATGTTAATTAAAATACATATCAGATGTCAGAAGTGCAACACAATAATGTAAAATAGGGTCACTTCAAAATCTAGTATTTTTATAAGAAAACTTATATATTAAAATTCTTTTTTGTTTTAGATTAAAAGAATTGACTTCAATGGACAAAAAAAAGTGATTAGGGGGAATTTTAGTGTTTCACATTCCTTTCATATTAAAATTTTTCAAACCAGAATTGAATTTATAATGTAAAATAACAATCAAAAAACCAATTTTTTCCCACATATACAAGAGAAGAAATTCAATCAAGGTTTAGATCTAATAATTTATATCCCTGATACCATTTGAAGCATTAAAAAAACTATCATTTCTTTTGATTATGTATTTTATAAAGTCTTTAAGGATGTAGTGATATTTTCTTTTTTCAAATAAAGTTTTATTAATAAAAATTCTGAAACTTTTTTATCCCATTGTCTATTCTATTGCAACTTCAGGAATTTTAACTAGAATACATATACGATATGATGATATAAGTGAAAAATATGTTATGGTAGTTGAATTTTATCAAAAATTCAAATTTGGTGGTCATTATTTTTAAATTCACCCTTACATTTATTTGTTTCTATCTGTGTTTAAAGACATTCAACTCAATTTCAATCTTTTCAAATAGAAACAGTCTTTTTAGAATCATATCCTTATCTTTTTTTTAACCAAATAATCCCCCCCCCGAAAGTTTTTAAAAAAAATGTGTCTAGATTTAGAGTCTTGGCTATTTTCAACATGATGTTTCTATATCTGTGTTTATATATATATATATATATATATATATATATATATATATATATATATATATATATATATATATATATATATATATATATATATATAAAAGGGACACTTACATATCAATTATATTTAATGTAGTATGAAATACAATTGGAGAAAAAATCCATTTAAAGTAAAATTTCTGTTTCCATTGACACAGTTAAAAATTCGTCAAACCATTATTACAGTGTACCATTTTTTTTTTTTCAAAAACCGTACCAGTTTGACCAGATGAAAAGAATAAGATTTTAATATTTCAAGAGAATTGGTTGGAAGTTACGGAGAAAAATGAGATTAAATTTTAATTATTTACTTCGTTTCATTGGAACTGGCAGCCAATTTGAAGAAGGGACACTTGTAACAATATGTCGCCACCTTCCCCCTCATACACAAGTACAGCCATGATGTTTTATTGGGGGAAAATTAGGTCTGGGGGAAATAGCACTATATAACTATAGCGCAGAGTAAGATCCCCCCCCCCTCGAAAATTGAATCTGATGTGGGATTTCCTTGGGGGAAATCCTACTCTAGAATAATTTTTTGTAGGAAAAATCCTACTCAAGAGCCTATTTTTCGGGGGGGGGGGCAACTCTAGAGTCAGTTTTATATAGATGCTGTTGCCATGGAACTAAAAATGGGTGAATTTCTAAAAATTCGAAATTTTGCTACATTTAAAGAGAGTATTTGCTCTTTACTTTCAAATCCAATATTACACCTACGGGGTCGAGGGGACATTATTATGCTACGGCTTGCAAAATCAATGTTTCTTGTATTCTTGTGGCTTTGGGTTCTTTTTTTCTCTTTGAAGAACTAAATACTCACAAAATGCCACAGTGTATGCTGAATCTATCAAAAATATAAATTTAGAATTTTTCTTACATACTCATTGCAAAAAGGACCAATCTATAGATAAAATACCGGGGCGGTAGAGGGCTCTAAAGATGGCCTGATAAACATTTTAAAATTCGTGAACAATCAGGTACTATTGCGGCGAGAGAGCTGTTGAGACATCGAGTTTTACGATGTTTTGAGTCACTAATTTTACGATTTCCTACAAGTTTAAATTGTATTTGAGTATCAATAATGAGAACTTTATATTTACAGATTTTATACTTTATTTTAACAATTCTTGAGTCGAAAACACTTTTTATTTCCATTAAAAAAAATCACTTGACTTTTCAATGAACTTTTAGCCAAAATATTGCCAGTCTGATTTTAGCACTGATAAAACAGGGGAAATCCTTCTCTGAGAAAGAAGAAGGGGAAATTTGGCTCTAGTGTGAGATTTTCTCTCGGGGGGGGGGGGGGGGGGAGTCCATCTCTAGAGTACAGATTCTGGGGAATAGCTGGCTATGGGGAAGGTCCTACTTTACAACACCGGTATTTTGAATTCTTCATTTTTCTATTCTATCCTTTTATTAATTTCGAAAAAATATAGTTTCTGTTTTTTACTTTTTATTTTACTGTTATCTTATGTCTACTGATACAATTGTGTCTAATCTTTCATAGAATACTAATGTGCTCTGCAATTGCAAAAACTGAAGAAAAAAAAGAAACAGGTTGAATAAAGTTTGTATCTCCGTTGTTGAAATGTTTGTTTGTTGTTGTTTACCGTCCATCTCGAGAATTTTTCATTCATATGAACTTGCCGGTGAAGGGCTACAAATTTTGACCTATACTCGGCACTTAGGGCCATTGAGCAGTGAGGGATCTTTTTCGTGCCAGCATCTACTTCGACACGGGACCTCGGTTTATACGGACTCATCCGAAGGACCGGTCTCCACGTCCCGCAGTAGGATTGTTGAAACGTTAAAGAGATTTGGTTCTTCCTACTAAAAAAAATTTGTTACTAAGTAAATTTGATGTTAACTGAATTCCAGGTTTTCAAAGAAGTGGGACATTTATTTGATCATGGTTCAGAAACATGCATGGAGAGGGCGTCGAGGAACAGGAAAAGCAAAGAACAAGATTAACGCTGCAGATTCGTATTAGCACTGAAACGCAATGTTAGCTAAATCAAGTAGTTCTTTATTTTTTTGTTTTTGTATCTGCTTTGTTGTTGATCACCAAAAAACAAACAAACAAACAAAACAAAAAACAAAAAAAACTTTAAAAATCATGAACTTCTCAGAATATATATATATATATTTATCCCATGTTTACCCCTTTATCCCGTGGATATGACTCATTGGATAATTTTTTCATATTCCACAGTTGTGACGTCACAATGGTTTTTGCGTTAGAGTGATGAAGTAAAATAAAGTGGAGTCCTGTATAAAACAGTGTAAAACATTGGCTGTGAAGTATTAAACATGGGATAAAAAGAATCTCCCATGATTTGTAGTTAGATATGATTTTTATCCAACGAGTTGTGTGTTTTTTTATCCCCGAGCCTTGGCGATATATATTTCACGCCAAGGCTCGGGGATAAAAAAAACACACAACTCGTTGGATAAAAGTCATATCCAACTACAAATCATGGGAGATTCTGTTTTATCCCATGTTTAATACTTCACAACCAATGTTTTACACTGTTTTATACAGGAATCCACTTCATTTTACTTCATCACTCTAACGCAAAAACCATTGTGACGTCACAACTGCACTTAACTGTGGAATATGAAAAACTTATCCAATGAGTCATATCCACGGGTAAAAGGGGTAAACATGGGATAAATATATATATATATATATATATATATATATATATATATATATATATATATATATATATATATATATATATATATATATATAGCCAAGGCTCGGGGATAAAAAACACACAACTCGTTGGATAAAAATCATATCCAACTACAAAAACTAGATAAAAGATATAAAAAGAGAAAAGGAGCATAAACCATATTCCAGAATTGGTGATTTTTTTTAATGTTGTGGCATTGGCTGAAAAATGCTGATGAAAATGAGATTGGATTTCCTAGAGGACAAGAAATCGATCTGATATGTTATTTTCTGGATTAAAAGACGTTGTGGGCAAAACTTTCGACGGAGTGGGTTGAAAGTCCTGAATATATTTTTTTTCTACCACATGATAAACTTTTAGAGCTTGATTTTATTGAGTGTCACGATTATACAGAGAAATGATCGATTCTGTTAGTAATGAACTTTCTTCTACATTTTTTTTTGAAAATCAAATTAAATTAAACTAGTTCACCATGATCACTGGGAAATAATGCAGGTATCGTTTATAAGAATGAAGAGCTAGCCACAATTTAGGAGAGGGGGCAAACACTTGATCACATATTTTAAAAAAAGTCTCTTTGAATTCTTAAAGTTCGCCCAACAGCATTTGCAAGTAAGTTAATATCTTAAGTATTGTTAATATGGATAAATTGAAATTAATTCCATGGAATAAGAACCTTTTTACATAAAAGTAGGAATGAACGTCAGATGGAAAACTACCAAGCTGTGGTTATCAATTTACGAAGAGAAACATTTCTTTATCTGCAATTCAATTTCATCATTGACTGGTCCCCATCTCCTCCGTGCGCGCGTTGAAGCGATGTCACAAATATTGTCATTATTGGATAATTGGAAAGATTTTCTTAGATTGTTTGGATCCTTCGATCCATTGTTCATTTAGGCGGCTATCTGCACTAGTGTGAACTAAGGTTCACTCGGAACCAATCAACTTTGTCCGCAGATGTCTCTCGGAGAGGGACCACAATAAGCACATCCGGCGTATTACCGCCATCAAGCGTAGTGAGATAATGTATTACGGACTTAATTAAACAACCTTCGATAGCCAGCCTAGAAGTTAACCTGTAATTGTTAAGGATAAGTTCTATCTTCATAAGTGGTTGTGACTTTGAATAGCTGAAGAAATGTGGCTCTCTAGGAAAGAAAAGAAGCATATACATTATTTTATAATTTTCAAAATGTAAATATTGCAAGGAACATATAACTACATTACTTTCTATGAACAAATCAATATTTTCAAGAAACCTCACTTGCACGCATATTTGAATCGTTTTGAAACTCCGCCATGCATATATTGTTTTCTTGCTTAATTGTCTGTCCAGACATTGGATTCCAAATAATGTTCAGATAATGAAACATTTTTCATGCCAAAGCGTATCTCTACCATTAAGATGCAAACTGTCTTGTACAGAAGGCGCCTTATATTTCCATATCTTTAAGTTAGCATCCGTGCACGAAAGATGGTGATATATACTTGTATCAAAATGATGCCATATATATTATAGATCATTCTTGAGATATTTGTTTCTGTACATAGTTAGTGGATGTTTGGTTAACCAGAATTTATTTTTATCGTGTATTTTTTTTAAAAATACAAATTATAACAATCTACAAAAAAGGAAGTGATTTGGAACTATTTTCAGTTTATTAACATTGCACTGATTCATATCAAATATTGAGGCAACTTAACAACCGACAAAAAGAAAAATTGAGATAGCTACAAAGTCTAAAAAACATATTTAGAAAACAAACGCACTAAACTGAAAAAAAAAAATCCAAAACAAAAAGAAAAAAATAAATGCAGAAGGATGCTTTCTATCATTCTGAATATTGTAGTCTTGATTTTAGTATGGTTTAAAAAGTGCAGTAAATAGTATAAGCTTCGAGTATTCGTCTTTTTTCTTTAAACATTTTTCTTTTAAAGTCAATTTCTATGGTCGTTACAATGATCTTGTTTGCAAAAATACCCTGCCATTTAGGCGAAAGTTGACTGACGTTTTCAGTCAAGTTGATGGGCCATGATTTTCATACCGATTTGTCTATGGATTACTCCGTTTATCTGATCACAAGGTCATCTCACGTGAGTTTGACCGGAGATGCTTACATTTCCACTCGTTCTTCTCTTGTTTCCTCTCTAATGCCTCGCTCTTTTTTTTGTATTATTTACTAAGCATTGGATTTTGAGCTTGATCACTTTTTGTTATACCTTTAAAAATTGTTTCCTCTGAAATTTCCGGGGATCCGTGTTTTATGCCCTGTTCACAGATTTGTATTGCTTATAGATGTTTTTTTTATTTTTAGATCGGTCACTGTTTATTATCTTCACTTTTCACTTATACGTAAAAAAAGTTTACATTTCCAATTTTTTACTGAGTGGTCCACAAAAATCGATACTGGACCGCTGACTGGGATCCAGGCTCCAAGACCATAAACTTAGAACAGACTTAAGTCAAAATTTCAAACCTATATAACTGCTGAAATAATTTTGTTAATCAGACAAAATTTTCATCATATGCTTAAATTTTAATGTTAAACAAAATTGCAAATTTTTAAGCAAATATATTAAATAAAACTCAAGATATTAAAAATCAAAATTTTGACTTAAGTCTATTCTCAGTTTATGGTCTTGGACCTTGGCCTGTCGATGAGATATTGGACCGCTAGATGACTTTTTTCGTCATACTGTAGGAGGAATCAGTTAAATATTATCAATTATTGCAAACATAAAATATAAGTCCAAATAAAAAGTAAAAGGTATTACAAAACTTTTATTGCCTGTGTTCTCGGGCAAAATGCGTTTTGTCGACCCCTTGAACCAAACTGTTAGCCTGCAGCCTAACAGTTTGGTACTTGGTCCGAAAAACAAGTTGCCCTCGAACTCAGTCAATAAATGTATATTGTTATAAATTTGTCTTCACATTTTCATGTTATTGTTTTACATTTGTTGAATATCATTCCATGGTGGTCATTGGGTATACAAAGACTACTCCGTTAATGAAACATCTTTATGAAATCAAAATGGGAGTCTTAGCTATATTTCGGTTTATGAATGTTTTGGGACAAATTGGGTAGGTACATTCATATTGTTCGTTCAAACGCGAAAGTAAGCTTTTCTAATAAAACCTTGTCTAGGACGTTTAACCTTTTTAAAAAATCTTGAGAATCACTTTGCAATTTTCAATCGTATTCTTAACAGAATTCATCCTTCTTTTTGTAAGTTTTTAATTTGTTTGAGTGAAGGGCTGTGTACTACTTGAATTTAATTTAATAGAGTAAATACATTTAAAAGCCATTCTCAATAACTTTTGGACCAGAAATACTATCTTAAACTTATGTGAAAGTTTTCCTCATATAGTGAACTCAAGTTTCCTTGTTGAAAAATGAATTTCCTCCAAATATCGTATACGCTTATTATAAAACATCAACAGTATAAAACCCCGTCCCTCTGGTTTGGGTAGGAGGATGAAAGGGATTTATAGTTCTACTCAGGAAAAATATAATAAAAATCTTAAAATAATAGCAAGGCCACAGTTTATGCAATCAATATGCATACATCCTCATGGAGTGAGGCTTCAGGTTTGATAAAATCCTGACTCCTGAACAAAAATATTTTAAACAAGCACACTCTCAAAAAGAATAAGACTTAATTTATTTACAAGTATTTATATAGACAGGACAGTGTGTAATAAATGGTAGATATCATTTCCTGTGAGTTTGCATATATATATATGAACTGGAGCTTAATTTCAAATTCATTTGGCCGTCACTGTAGCTTAGTCGGTAGAGCGCTCGCTCCGTGATCGGAAGGTCGTGTGTTCGAATCACAGCCGCGACTGAATTAAGTCGATAAAAAATAGGTAGCAACTGGTCCTTCGCCAAGCGCTCGTATGGGGCGCCGTTTTGGTATTTACTGCCAAAAGGTGATATCACCTATTCGAATAGGTGATATCACCTATTCAATAAGTGATATCACCAATTCGAATAAGTGATATCACCTATTTGATTTGAATAGGTGATATCACCTATTCAAATAGGTGATATCACTTATTCGAATAGGTGATATCACCCATTCAAATAGGTGATATCACTTATTCTTTTTGAATAGGTGATATCACTTATTCGAATAGGTGATATCACCTATTCAAATTAAATAGGTGATATCACCAATTCAAATAGGTGATTTCACCTATTCGAATAGGTGATATCACTTAATCATTTTGAATAGGTGATATCACTTATTCGAATAGGTGATATC